CCATCCTTTTTGCCTTGTGTTAATTTACTTAAATTTGAGGTTGGTGTTTGCTCGGACTGCTCTTTGAGGTCTTTGTTTCTTCCCTGCTTCTCTACTTTCTTTCTCTTCCTTTTCTTTCTCCTCTGAGCTCTCTTTCCCCGTCGGGACCTCTTCTTGGGATCTTCTTTGGGTGAGTTCCTCTTCCGTGGTCACAGCTTCTAATTCCTCTTTGCTACTTTTTTCATCTTCTGACCCTCTCAATTGGTCAAGGAATTCTTGAGCCTCCACCAAACTGTTTATTTTAATTCTCCTCCCTTGCCAAGTAATCAGCATGCCCTCCGGCAAGGTCCATCTGAAAAGTATATTCCTTTTGTTCAGCTGTGTGGCAAGGAATCTGTAGTCTCTTCGTTGTTCTCTCACCCTCCTCGGCACTTGCTTCAGGACAACCACCTCCTTTTCCTTATAATTGATCGGTTCTTCTTTTACCATTTTATAAAAAATATCCTTAACTTTCTTTCTTGCGAACCTTATATGTACCTCTCTGGGTAGTTTATTCCGTCTAGCGTAGTTCGTCTGTACTCTGTACACCTCGTCCAATTCTTTTATTATATCGTCTGTATCCTGTTGGAGCACCTCCGCTATTAATTCAGCCATTACTTGGCCTAAATTTTCATCCTTGTCTTCTGTAACGTTTTGGAAATGCAGATAGAAAGAGGCCCTGTCCATTTCCAACTGCGTGATCGAATCCTCCAAGTCTCTGTTCTGGGCCATTAATTTTTGATCTACTGTCTCTAGATCTTTCTCTTGTTGTTCCACCTTGGATTCTATTTTTTGTATTCTCTGTTCACTCCATTCCAATCGCCTAATAAAATGCATGGTTTATAATCCCATTGTAGTAATTTGGAATGTTAAAGCTTATAAAATTTTTCCTGCTGTTGGTTCGGTGCATATACTCCAATTAAAAGTATTTTTTTTCCTTTTATTAAAAGTTTAATTGCTATAAATCTTCCTTGATCATCTGCTTCAATTAATTTGGCAATTAAGTCTTTTTTTAGGTATATAACTACCATTCTTCTTCTTGGGAGCAGATGCAACAAAATGTATACCTAACTTTGCATTTATTAAATATTTTTGATCTTTGCTTCTAATGAGTCTCTTGTAAACAGATTACATCATTTTTAAACTGTTTCAAATAATGAAATATTTTTCTCCTCTTTTGTGGTGAATTTAAGCCATTAACATTCCAAGTCAGAAATCTAGTTTCCATTCTTGGCCCCCTGAAGCTTTTGGAGCATCTGCTGGAAATCTCCATGCATTTTACTTTTTGACCTTGCTCCTCCCACTGCTTCTGTTTTTGTAGTTTCTTGAATCATCTGAAGTTGCTGCACTCTTAATTCTTCTTGACGCTTGGCTGCCGCTCGGGTCTGTCTTTGATCCTTAGGTTCTTCTATCTCCAAGGCTTGAACAGTAGTCAAAAGTTGTATTAAATCTTCTTGAGTAATCAAAGCTCCCCTTTGGGCCTGTGCCAACAATTCTTTCTCCCCCTTTCTTGCCCCTCTGCTTCCGTCTTCCTTCTAGCTTCTGGGGACTGTGGGCATCCAGCCTTTAGTACATTGGTGTAAAAATCTCTTGCCTTCCACACTGAGTTAAGACGATATCTCTCTCCTGAATAGTTCACCACTAGTCCAGCTGGAACCTCACATCTGTACTGTATCTGACGGTTTCTCAGTTCTTCCACCAGAAAGGCATAATCCCTTCTGGCTCTCAACATTGGGGGGGGGATTTCTTTCAGTATTAAAACCTCCTGCCCCTGCACTTGAAGTTTATTTTTAAAGGTGACTTGTAGGATTACACTACGTATTCTCCTTGTTGTAAAATAAACTACAATGTCTCTTGGTAGATGTTTCTGTCTGGCCACCCATGAATTGACATGGTAAATTTTGTCAATTTGCCATTCAAGATTTGCTTTTTGATCTCCCATTATCTGTGCAAATGCTTCTGAAAAAATCTCTCTCACATTCTCTTGCTTATTTTCTTTGAGGCCTCTTATTCTCAAAGCAAATTCCATATCTCTATATTGTATCATTATCACCTCGGCCTCAGCTCTTTCCATCTTATTCTGGACATCTCCCATTTTATTTTCCAGATTCTCATTAGACTGCTTAATTTCTTCCACTTTTTCATCTATTGCCTCAATATGGCCTGCCAGACCTTGGACTGCCATGATAATATCTTCTCTAATTTCCTGATTTTGTTTTTGAATGAACTCTTTAATTTGAGCTGTCTCCTCAGCAACATCTCGAATTTTATCCTCAAACACCGAAGTAATTTTTTTTTCTATAACAGAGGCTTGTGTTTTAAGGGCTTCCTGCAACATTTCAAGTGTTAATATTGGTAGTTCCGTTGGAAGAGAGAGATATTGCAATTTGGACGTTTGAGCTGGTGAGCTCCCAGCACTTTTAGGAACAATAGTCATTATTTGTTTTGAAGCCATTTTTAGTTTCCAATTTAAATTTATTCAGCAACCAGAACAACAAATCCACCAAATCCAGAAATTTCCAGTCTTTAAATGATATCAATCCTTTTTTTAAAAAAAAACATTGCTATAGTCTTTTTAACCTTTAATCTTCTTTCTTTTCAAGCAAAGATCTCTAATTTTAGACCGGGGCTGCCAGCGCTAAACGAAACTTTCCTTTTTAACTTTCACTTTCACGCCCCATTAAAGCTCAATCGCCATCTTGGTTTCACTTTCTCCTCTTAATAAATCAGAAGGAAGTAATACACATTTGGAGTTAAAGTTTAGTACTTGCAAATCTGATGTCTCCTGAGTTTGCTCAGCCTGCTTCCGAATAATGTTTTATTCCAAGCATTGTTTGCAGAGGTGGTCGTGGTGTCTTCTTCTGCTTAAAGCAGAAACGTCCCGGATCCGGAGCTCTGTCGGGCTTCCAGGGAGCTCTCACCCTTCAAGCCCCAGAATTGTTCCTGGGGCTTCTTGGGGAGCTCTACCTGCACCCGTCTGCTCTCTTCCTCCCTTTTTCCTAGGGAGAAAGTTTTCAAGCCGCTAGACAGTTGATTTACGCTGTTCTAGCAGCTTAATGTGATCCCGGGGCCGGCGCTCACAAAAGGAGCATCTTCAGCGCCTACGATGCCACCGGAAGTCCATCTCCACCACATCCAGGCAACCCTGAAAAGCCTCTGAGAACCAGGCAAAAAGTGCCCCCCATTTTTTCCATGACTTTTGGAGGTCCTTTACAGGATCATAGTCCCCTCACAAAACTTCCAGAGGGTCTGTAGGCCCTAGGAGACCCTCCCTCATTCTTCTGCTGCTGGATAACTTGTAAGAAGGTGCAAAGAGGAAAGAACTGAAGGGCTGAAGAGGAAATGCTTTTGTAAAGTCGATTTGATCCTTTGAAATTTATTTTGTAATGTAAATAGAGATCTGGATTTGGAATACCCCTCAAGATCTTTTTTTAATTCCTTCAATTCTGCTATTGGTTCCTGCTTTTTAATGTGCCTCGGTTTTAATCCTAAGAGATTTGTTGTTGTTTTTTAATTGTTAATTCTTGGGGGCACAAACTGTCAGTATTTTAATTTTTCTTCTTCTCTTTAATGCTTTTGGCATGTGACCATAATAAATGTTGAGTTTAATTGAATTGAATTAATTTGAATTGAATGGCTCTTTGGACCTGATTCCTTCAGGATCCTTCATTAGTCCTGGAAAGCCTTGAATGACCAGATTGTCCAACAATCTGTCCAAGCAGATTTTGCATTCAAATCCTCCAGTTCTTTTTTTAAAAAAAACAAAAAACACTTTATTAGATTATAGAATAAAATACAAAAAACAAAATCAAAAAGAAACCAAAGAGGAAGAAATTGGGGGGGGGGAGGAAAGAGAAGTGAGGGGGGAGGGAGAAAAGAAAAAAAGTGCTGACTTCAGACTTCCTCTGTTGCAGTAATATAAAGCATTAAAATCGAATCTCAACTTTTTACTTTTCTATAATAATATAAAGGGTTTCCTAAAAGAAAGCAGATTTTGCATTCAAATCCTCCAGTTCTCAGGAACAACAAAAGTCCCGCCTCTCTTTCTCTCTACTGGCTGCTTCTATTCCTTGCCTGCCCCCTTCATCATGACAACCCTGTAGCCAATCAAAGAGGGGGAAGAGACGGTTGCCTGGGAGCTTCCCTGCCTTCAGCCTGATGGAGAAGAGGCTGAAGACGCCAAGCCAAAGGGGGGGAGGGGATGAGAAAGGGGCAAAAGCTCCCAGAATTGCAGAGGGAGGGGGGCTTAAGCCCCTTCCCCAGAAAAGGCTGCTATGAAGAGGGCCTCCTCAGCAGGGGACACTGGAGGGGCGACGGGGGACCCCCATCTTCCTCAGAGTCATGGAGGGTCCCCTCCAGGGTGAGGCTGGCTGTCTTTTCCTCCCGGGCAACTCCGGATCCCCCTTGGAAGACCCAGCCCTGCATGGCTTCTCCCCCACAGGAGCCTTTCCTGGAAAGACACGGAGCCCAAGTGAGGCTGGAGAAACCCTGGGGGCTGCATCCCCCCAACATTCAACCCTGGGACCTAGAAACCAGGTTAGTATCTTCCCAGGAATGCCCCAGATCTCCTCCTCTTCCCTGGCCATCCTGGTATTTCTCTGTGGGTCTTAGAGATTGGCTGCACTATTGCATCAGCCCTTTTGTGCAGTGCCCTTGAGCATTAGCTTTCAAAATAAAGTAAATTTTGGCTCCAACTCAGCTGGCAGCTATTTCAGATCTGTGGCAGGCTCTGGCATTAACTGGCCCACAGAGTTTTGTCTTTCATCACTATACGAACAAATATCAGATTTATTTATTTCTTCAGCCACAGGTACCATGTATTCCCTACATGGAGCCCCCAAAACTCTCAATTCTAGATGACCAATTTAATTCCATCTCTGCCCCTGTTATTTTGAATCACATGGGGATTATTTCTCTTTCATTTCCCTCCAGAGAATTTCCAAACAATCTTTGACTGCAAGAACTACTTGAATTACCCAGGGATCCCTCCTGAGAGGGAGAATTATGATAAAAGTTTCAGCTCTGCTGTTTGGCCGAATCCTCCAGGGGAGACTTTGGGCAGAGAAATATGGAGTTTGGGGACAGGCAGAGTCTGTGCTCTTGAATCTACATCTCTCTCCTTTCCAGGTGAAGCTGAGTGTTTCTCTGTGTTGAGAAAAAGCAACTGGATGTTCCACCTTGTGAGAGTCCTTTGATTCTTCTAATTCTTCTTTAGAAACAGGAAAGGGATTCATTGATTCACACCATCAATTATGGACCTCCTGCTTCTGCTTCTGATGCTGCTTTTGTCCCATTCAGTCTCTGGGAAGCTGAGAATGAAATGCCCATTGAGTTTGGAGAACCAGGATGGGAAACCATGGAGCTACTACAGACCAGGAGACCATCTAATCAGTATAGTCATCAGTGGAAATGAAATATTGCATACAAAGTTGCCTTTCAACGTGGCTCCTTCTCTTCAGTTTGCTTTCTATGATTCGTAAGTCATTCAGGGTGATGGAATTGCAGTCTCTCCATTCTAACACTCTCCTTCTTTTCTGTTTTTTTATTTTTCATTTATTCCTATATTGGGGAATATGTGTAATTTCCTGAATGATTTTGATTTCCATGGCTTCTCTCTTCGGTCTGATTTTGTGAAAGAGACCCAAAAAGGGGTCTGAAAAAAAGCTGAAAAGGCTGCAGATTATTTTCCTCTCTCTGTTCAGTCTTTAATTTATCACTTGGATAATGGATTTTATTTAAAGTAGTGGTGGAATCAGTTGTAGTTGCTGTACCTCAGCCCATTTCCATATATGTGGAACTGATCATTGCTTTTGGATCAATGCTAGTTTAAGGCTCAGTAGGCTTCTGGAGGATTATATATATTATATATAACAAAACTATTTGTTGTGGCTGTTGATTATAATAACTTTTTTTTCAATAGGACTTCTTTTTTTTGCTTAGTATTCATTTTCAACATTCAACTGGCCAACAAGAATTCCCATCTCTTGCACAATCTCACACTGGGCTACAACATCCATAACAACTATTTGAGCACTTTCTACACTTCAGATGCCTTGCTGGACATGCTCTCCACTGGAGAAGCCAATGTCCCCAACTACAGCTGTGGAAGGAAGGAGAACCTCCTGGCTCTTCTTGATGGAACCAAGAGGGAGATCTCCATCCAAATGTCAACATTAGGAGACACCTACAAAGTCCCACAGGTTTGTGTGTGTTTTTCTCCTTCTGGTAAAGTGAGGGGTGGGTGGTGGTGTGTCAGCAATAGATGCAATCATGTCTTCTCCATGGAATTCAAGAGCTGCTTTTCTCCATATTAGCAAAAATGTCAATATTTTACCCCATTATGTTCATGTTGAGATTAATCATAAAAGGCCTGAAATGCAAGCAATACATTACCTGGAGAAGATATTCTACCAACTATTTAACTGATCAAAAAATATCCCTGGTTGTTGGGGCCTCTATTGACATCTTCATTTTCACAGATAAATAATGCCTGCCCTATCCAGTTGGATTGAAGTTTGCAATAGTAGCATTTTATCTAGTTAAAATGTGGAATGAAAATTATTCAAGCAATTATAGGACAAATAGACTAGCAGATATTGTGGCTAAAATTTATGCCATGATCCTCTTAGTTAAACTTGAGAAAAATGCATTCCTTGCAGAAGAAACAGAAGATTTTAGGTAGAATTAAAAGCAATATAGATATTATAAGAAATTATGCATTTATTTATTTTTCAGATTTCTATACCGCCCTTCTCCTTTCAGACTCAGGGCAGTGAACAGCCAAAGTAAAACACTTTACACACAAAAGTTAAAATAGATTTAAAATAATTAAATAATTTGGCCCATAATTTAAAACATTTCAATTTAAAACCAATTTCAAATTTCAAATTTGAATGCATAAATTAATAATCTAATATTGGCAACAAATTTGTCCTGAAATATCTAATCTATATGTGAAGTAAAACAAGATATGCTGCTTTCTAGATGTTAGTGCAACATTTGACTCAATAAACAAAGAAATCTGATGGAGAAAATGGATGGCCCTCAAAATGGAGCTCAGCCTGTTGGCCCTGATCCAAGCCCTTGTTTGAGAGGGAGGTTTGGGCTCAATGAAGCCATGAGAAGAAGGATCTATGCTTACCAAGGGGGAAGGGAAAGATGCATATTTGAACCCTTGTTCTTCAGTCTAGATATGAATGACTTACTAGGACTAATGCAGGGTCAAAAAACAGATCATAAATAAACTTTATTTCATTCTTTGACAAAAATGACTAAATTAGTGGACCAATGAAATGCAGTGCATGTAGTATACAGTACTTGGATTTCAGAAAGGCTTTGACAAAGGAAACCACAACCTATTTCTCGGGAAGCTGAAAATATGTGGGATAGACAGCATCACATCCAGATGGGCTCAGCCTGTGGTCCTCAATGGAACTACGTCTGCATGGAGGGAAACAAGCAGTGGGGGACCCCAAGGCTCCATTTTAGGCCCAGTTCTCTTCAACACCTTCATCAATGATTTGGATGAGGGAAGAAATGGGGAAATCATCAAATTTGAAGACAACACTAAAGCGGCAGGAATAGCCAACAGCCCAGAAGATAGACTGATGATCCAGATGGATCTAGATAGACTTGAACCCGGGGGCTATCTAACAAAATGAAATTTAATGAAGAGAAAAGTAAGGTTTTATACTTAGGCTAGAAAAACCAAATGTCCACTTACAGATGAGGTGAAACCTGGCTCCATAGCAGTAACTGTGAGAGGAACTTGGAGTCCTAGTGGACAATCACTTAATATGAGCCAGCAATCTGTGTCAGCAGCTAAAAAAAGCTAATTCAGTCCTAAATTGCATTAACAGGGATAAAATCAAGATTACATGAATTATTGGTACTGCTTTATAATGCCTTGGCAAGACCAAACTTGGAATAGTGCATCCAGTTTTAGTCTTCATATTTTAAAAATGATGTAGAGACTTTGGAAAGAGTGCAGAAAAGATGATTAAGGGCCTGGAGACTAAAACATATGAGGAACAGTTGCAGGAATTCAGTATGTCTAGTCTAGTGAAAAAGACAAGGGGTGACATCATAGCAATGTACCAATATTTGGGGGGCTGCCACTGAGAAAAGGAGGTCCACCTATTTTCCAAAGTATTAGAAGGCAAGAAGAAATAATGGATGGAAACTAATCAAGGAGAAAAACAACCTAGAACTAAGGAGAAATTTCCTAATGGTGAGGAATGGAACTTCTACCCTTCAGAAATTGTGGGTGGTGGTCATCACTGGAGGCTTTGAAGAAGAGACTGGACAGCCACTTGTCTGGAATAGTATAGATAGATACGCATTAACAGAGTTGGAAGGGACCTTGTAGGTCATCTAATCCAAGAAGACCCTATACCATTTCTGACAGATGACGGTCCAGTCTCTTCTTGAAAGCTTCCAGTGATGAAGCTCCCACAACTTCTGAAGGCAACTTTATCTCTTTATTTCCAGGTTGAATCTCTCCTTGTTCAGTTTCCATCCATTATCCCTTGTCCGGCCTTTGTCTGGCCTTTGTCCGGCCTTTGCCCAGTCTTTGGGTGCTTTGGAAAATAGCTTGACCCCCTCCTCTCTGTGGCAGCCCCTCAAATATTGGAAGACTGCTATCATGTCTCCCCTGATCCTTCTCTTCAATAGACTAGCCATGCCCAGTTCCTGCAAACATTCATTGTATGTTTTAGCCTCCAGTCCCCTAATCCTCTTGGTTGCTCTTCTCTGCAGTTTTTCTAGAGTCTCAACATCTTTTTTATAGTGTGGTGACCAAAACTGGATGCAGGATTCTAGGTGTGGTCTTACTAAGGCTTTAGAGGGTGGAATTAATACCTCTCTTAATCTTGATTATATAAAATAAAAAATAAATAAATAAACTTTATTGTCATGTTTTGTGTATACACAGTATACACATACAACGAAATTTACTTGACACCCAAAGACCAGGTCCCACCCACCACTATTCCCCCCCAAACCACCCAAACATCTACACAACAGACTAAGTAATACTGTCCAACAACTCATTGTTCATTGTTGAGTGCAATTATAGCTCTGGGATAAAAACTATTCAGAAAACGTGTGGTCTGAGTTTTAATTGTTCTGTACCTTCTGCCAGAAGGCAACAGTCCAAAAAGATTGTAAGCAGGATGGGAAGAGGCTCTGAGAATGTTATGCAACTTCCTCAAACAGCGAGATTCGAAGATGTTGTCCAGGGCTGGTAGCTGGTCCGATAATATTCTGGGCAGTTTTAATGATTTTCTGTAGAGCTTTTTTGTCCGCTACATATCCCTCTATTAATATCCCTCTATTAATTAATTAACTAATATCCCTCTGTTAATGAGATTTAGGATTGCATTGGCTTTTTTGGCTGCTGCTGCACACTCTTGACTCATATTTAATTGGTTGTCCGCTAAGACTCCAGGATCCCTCTCACAGTTACTGCTATTATGCCTGGTTTACTGCTTGAACAGGGGGTTGGACTGGAAGACCTCCAAGGTCCCTTCCAACCCTTTTATTTTGTTATAAGTTCTGTTATAGGTACGCATGTTTAGCCTGCTAAATTCCTATTGGAATACACTGATTTACACTGATAATGTGATATTATCATACTTACACATTGGATTGTATACCCTGTGAAGAAGACTTGAATTGTTTTGTCATAATAATTATCTGATAATTAATAAATCTGTTGCAATATTTTTAGGATCAGACTCAATAATAATATTTAGAGTTAGAGATTCAAATATATTTCTCTTTAATTATAGTAGGCATTCTATATTCACTGAATATTCACAGATAGAAGCAAGGAAAATGGCGAAGGTGGCTCCTTATATATACAAAGGGTGGAGCCAAGAGTAGGAGTGGTGAATTATGAATACATTAAGAAACAAAGAATAAGTTAACCCCTGATATCCCATATATACATTATTTACACATTAGGGAATAAGGCATTTACATCTGACAAATCCCCCTCTAAATGCCGGTTCGCTATACAACACCAATTACATTCAGATTCAGGACAATATAATACATACAATCTGGAAGTTAAGTATTTGTGCTGTTTAGAAGGTAAAGGCTTCGTCAATATGTCAGCCAATTGTTCAGAGGTATCGCAATGTACTGCTTTGATAAATCCATCTTGGGACAATTGTCTCACATGCTTAAATTTTATATCTATATGCCTGGATCTTTGTCCAATGGCATCGGATCTAGATATTTCAATGGCCGCTTTATTGTCTTCATGCATAACAAAAGGCAAAGCAGGTTTTTTCCAAACATCTGAAATTAAATCATTAAACCATACAAGGTTATTTGCAGCTTTGGATAAACAAACATACTCCGCTTCTGTGGTTGAAGTGGCTACCAATTCTTGTTTACCAGTGTACCAGTAAACTGGACAGTCATTTAACAGAAAAATATAACCAGAGGTACTTTTTCTGCATGATGTATCTCCAGCCCAATCCGCATCTGCGTAACATGTAAGTCTTGGTTCTTTGTTATCACTAGGTTCTAATACTAGACAAAAGTCCAATGTACTTTTCAGATATCTTAAAATTCTTTTGACAGCTTCCCAGTGATACATTGTTGGTTTACTAACGTGCCTTGATAATAAATTGAGTAGTAATGCAATATCTGGTCTGGTCCAATTAGATATATAAAGAAGTGAACCTATTACTGATCTATAGAATGTATTATCCTTGAATTCAGGGGAAGATTCATCAGTATTTCTAAGGAAATCAGTTTGCATAGGAGTGTCACAGGGTTTGGCATTGTTTAAATTACATTTGTTTAGAAGTTCAATAATCTTATCTTTCTGAGTAAGTTTGAAACCCTTTCTAGTTTTGTTAATTTGTACACCAAGGTATTTGTTTATTTTACCTAGAGATTTCAACGAGAAATGTTCATTTAACTTGTTTACAAAGATTTCTCTTCTCTCTCTGTGTTTTCTATATATAAAATATCATCTACGTAAATCAATACAAACTCAACGTGATCATCACTCTTTTTGACAAAGAAACAGTTATCAGCAGTGGTAGCGTTGAAATCCATGGTTTTAAGTACTTTTACCAAGCAATCGTACCATCTTTTGCCAGATTGCTTTAATCCGTATAAGCTCTTGTTCAATAGCCAAATTTCATTTTTATTAGTGTATTGACTGTGAGGTGCTCTTACG